GTCTGGCAGGGGAACCTTCAGCGGCATAGTGGTAAGAGCGACTGCACCCAACTCGAGGCCGAGGCGCGTGGGAAGGCCAACGGGCTCCGCTGGCCATGGCCCGAGGCCGAGGTGACCGCCAGCCTTGGCTCGTCGCATCTGGTTCGCAAGCTTGCGCCTCTGCAGCCTCCTGCGCTGCGTTAGCGTCTGCACAGGAGGCTGCAGAGGATCGATGAGCGCCTGCGCCATCTTCTGCTTCCTGCGCTGTTGCTTGGAGAGTCCTTTGGCCTCTTGGGGAACCTCTGAGGGGCATCCGCCTCGATCCTCCAGGTGCATCTCCAGCGGCAGGCTGTCATCGACGACAGGGGAGAGAACAGATGTAGAGTGTACTGCTGACATGTATCAATAGTTCGTGTGCGCGGGAGTTGAAGTGAAGGCACTACACCAGAGCGTTGGATCCAGGATGGAGTGCGATATCTGAGCCAAAATGGCCACGGAGGGGGCCGTTGTGGGGCTTCTTGGCGCCTCTTTCTGGCCTCGAGGGGGCCTCTTGGGACCTCTTGGGGGCCTCTTGGGGGCCTCGCGGCCCCGCTTCGGGGCCCTCAGGGCCTCCTGGTCTGTGGGGGCGAGAAACTGGAACTGTGGGTTCGTGTTCCCCCTCTTGGGGCCCTCTCTGGACCGCCCCAGGCTTTTCTTTGGCCGTCTTTGGGGGACTTTTGGGCCGTCCTGGGGGCCTCTCGAATCATCTTGGAGCTCCCACGGAGCCCTCTGACGCCGTCTGTGGGGTTTCTTGGCGGCCTCTTGGGCCTTCTGGGGACGGCCAGGGGTGCCTCTTGGACCGTCTTGGATCGTTGAAGCCCGAAGGGGCTTGAATGCAAAAATCAGGCAAAACGTTTGGAACATGATGAAGTTTGCCCTCTCGGATCACTCGTCCGGAATCTCTCGGAGCCTTCTTTCGGGGGCGGCCAAGAGGGGGGCGTCCAAGACGGGGGGGCGCAAATCATGGCCAGCGGCGTGTGCGCAGCCCAAGTGGGAGGCCAAGGACGTAATGAAATCTGCCGATATGGCGTGTGAACTAAAAGGAGGAGCCTCAGCAAGAGCTTTAGCTCTGAGCCTGAGCCAGAGCTTCAGCTCTGCTTGGGGGGGGTCGCTGGGGTGGCTCTGCCGGGAAAAGGGGGGAGGGGGGGGGGCGGTCCCCCATCTGGCGTTTTCCCCATGATTTGCGCACCCGGACCCCCCCGGGGAAGGGGGGGAGGGAGAGGGGGAGGCGGTCCCCCATCTAGCGTTTTCTTAATGATTTGCGCATCCCCAGGATGTTTCGGGGGGTCCCAGGGACCCCCCTCAGATCCGGCCGCTACCGCCCCCAGGACACCCCCTCGGAACCCTCCCCGGACCCCCTGTGGGACCGCTCCAAGCACCCCCCAGAGGAGAAGAACGAGGACTGGAAGAATCTAGGAGGGAGGAGGCCGCAGAGCCGCGAAGATCACCGACTCCGGAGCCCCCCGGATCGGCGGCACTGGCCGCAGGCCATTACGATAAGAAGAGGCGCCATGCAATCTGAGGAAATATCATGGCCCACGCCATGAGATCCCCCCCCTATCATCACCTCCCTCTTGGCGGCCCCCCTCTGGGGGCGATTGGCGGCCCTCCCAACTGTGGGCCCGGCCCAAAAGCGCCCCGAGAAGAATCGGGACCCTGCTGGGACTAAAAGGGGATGATCCTGAGGGAGGCGGGTGGGAATTTGAACGAATGGGCCAGCCTGGGGTCCAGGGGCAAGCTAGAGAAGCTTCGCGCAATCCCACAAGCCCATCCAGAAAGGACACCCTGACGAGTCCCCCTGATCAAGGATGTGGAGAAGCACGCAAAGGAATAACCGGCTGGGTAAGACGTCGTTAACGAAGAGAAGGAGGACGGATGAGGAATCGGAGGAGGAGCAGGAGGAGTAGGGAGAGGGCGAAGGGGGGAGGGAAGAGGAAGGAGCAGGAACAGACTGATGATGAAGAGGAGGAGGAGGAGGAGGAGGGTGAGCAGAAAGGCCAGAGGCCTCGTAGATGCCCCTCGGGGTCCCTCTGATATCTTTCGAGGTTTTCTTGAGGGTCCTCTCGGGGCGTCGTTGGGGTCTCTTGGCAGTCCCCAGGGGTCTTCTCGGGGCGTCGTTGGGGTCTTCTTGAGGTGTCTTGGGTGCCTCTTGAATACCTCTTGGTGTCCGCCTTGGAGCGTCGGAAAGCCGTACAGGCAAGAACGCGGAAATCCTTCAGAACCTTTAAAATCCATTGCTATTTTGGGGGCCTCGCGGAGGCTTCGTGGGGGCCTCGTGAAGACCTCGTGAGGGCCTCTTCGGGCCTCTTGGGCGTCTCTTGGGGGCCCCTCGAGGCTTCCTGGGGACCTCTCGAGGCCGAGAGCCTCGAAATGTCCGTTCGGAGCCCCCGTCCAGATCCTCTCTGGAGTCGCCTTGGGGGCCTCTGGTGCCGTCTCGAAGGCCTCGTAGGCCGTCTTGGAGCCCTCTCTGGGCCGTCTTGGC